ACTGCAACACACGACCCGCTGAGTTGTTCCTCTCGCGGGATGTTGTTACACGGAAAGGGATTTTAAAACGCAATCGCAGTGCGTGCACTGCGCTCGTTCGAGTCGCGAAACTGCATTGCACGCGTTTAAAATCACTGCGTTCCTGTACCCGTTACACGGTCGCTGCACCGTCGGAGCCCTGTCGCGAGCGTTGCACCGACTACGATAACCGGCCGTGATCCATAATAACATAAACGTTACGTAGATTTATCGACTCGGAGCCGTGCTGCAGACGTGTTCCGTTTCGCATCACGAGTTTTAGCTTTAAGTTCGTGGAGTTTTTATAAGAATTACTCTCTCTCTCTCTCTCTCTCTCTTGGCATTTTTCTCGAAATGTCGGAGGGAAAAACTGACTCGGTGCACTCGGCGATAATAACACGACAACGCTAAATTTGTCGCTAATTGCGTTAAACGGGAAATCGTAATTCTGCGTGTGCTCGGTGGATCGGAGACCGTTGCGCGGACCGTAGTCAAAGGTTGACCGCGGACGTCACTCGTACGCCACGCGGCCGTTACACGGTTAGGTACTGCGGGGGCGACAACGGGGCGCGTTAAATACGAATTCGGCGTCGATCGCAAGCGGAAATTTGGTGAAATTAGTGGGGGGGGGGGGGTGAGCGTTATTTGCTTATTACACCTGTAGACATCTCTGTACGCGATTGTTTATTTCAACAAGACAAAGTTCAACGATTTAACCAAAAACACAATTAGCTGCCTTATCTTAAACATTTTTGGAGTAGGTGTTCTAAACAGAAATTACTGATTAATTATTACATACTATTTATATTACATTGATTACGATCGTTCAAAGTCATCGCAATAACTTTGTAAGATATTACGAATTTGATTTAATTTTCATCACAGAATATTTATTTATTTTTTTTATTTTTAATTCAGTCGTTAAAAATGCATTTTACAATTATAATAACTATTGTATTTTAAATAATTTAACAATTTTCAGGGCTAGGGGGGCTAAGACCTGCACTTTACATTTCTGGGTGGCTTAGTCCCCTCAAATCCCCCCTCGATTTCCATCTGTGGCGTCAATCGTCTAATTGCACGACGGTGAAATGCATAGTTTTTGCGTTAAGGGTTTTTTTTTTCTTCTCGGATCGTCTTGACCTACTCGGACCGTACGTGTTTTACGATCCGATCGATCCGAAGAACACGTCACGTTTCGAAAGCGCGCGGTCTAAACCTCGCACACGGGTGTCAAACATGGTACGTTCGATTCGGTGTATCCGCGCATGCCAAAAAAAATAGATAAACATAAATTGGAACGTCCGAATCACATGCCACCTCGTATAAGGGTCTTTCCGAATCGCGCGCCGTATACCCCCAAGTTAATTTATTATGCACTGATGTGTACAACTTGAACTATATTTTTTTTGGAAAAACGGATGAACAGAAACCGATTAGTTTCTAGATTGAAATATTTTTATATCCGAGCAGACATTTTACCGAATTGGAGAAGGTGATACTGTGAATATTAAACATTAAATAAAACGATTGCAGCTTAGGGCAATCAAATGAATGTATTTTACATTGCCATTTCAAATAAATAACTATATAATATTTGGTAGATTTTTTTTTTTTTTTTGACAATATTCAATAATGAAAATAATAAAAATGATAGTGAAATAGTTTATGATAATAAAATAAAATATAAATATTAATAAAAAGTAAGATAAATGAAAAAATTAGTAAGGCCACGTAAGCCAACTTTTCTGTTTAATTATATTTATTTAATTGTTTTGAATACGTGTAATATCGCTTCTCCGGTGGAACAACGGCGTAAGTGAAAATGTAATTGTTCTTCAGAAAACGTAATTGTTCCATTGGACATGTGATTAAAAACCGGTATTTTCAACAATGACGAAACTGTTCTCTAGCGGTCAATAATAGGTATTATACTTATGTCATTGTTCCATTCGATAAAATGAAATGTTATTGTACTGTTGTCGTACTTATGTCTAAAAGTCAAAAATTTGCACTTATGTCGTTGTTCCACCGGAGAAGCGATATACGTATTCGAAACAATTAAATAAATAAATACGTAATAAATATATACGTCGTGTATATTTCGGGTATAAAAAGTATTTCAATCTAGAAACAAATCAACTGTAACAACCATATCATAAAGTGTTAAAGTCGAAATATAGTTCAAGTTGTGCACATAAATATGTAAACTTGTGGGTTGGTACACGGCATACCCCTCTAAGGCGTGGCATGCGATTCGGACTTTTTTTTTTTTTTTTTGGCATGCAATTCGGATGCAACTGTACGATTTATTTATAACACGACCGCGTTAGCCGCGTGTCTTGGACGAAATCACGCTGTTAAAATACCCTGAACTGCACGCACCCCCACGTCATCCGCACACGTGTAATCTAGTGTACGCGTATCGCGACCGATAAAAGTTTTTCAACAGTTTATTAATTTGTCGAAAAACTCATCGCAGAGAAAGGTATCGGCCGACCTCACGGGGTCGGCGCAAGCTTATCGTATGAGGGGGGGGGCAGGATCAATTTTTCCCGAGAGTTCGCCCCGGTGCTAAGGGAATTCGCGGTAAAGAGAGAAACTTTTAGCGGCACAATTATTTCGTTCTCGTCCGGTCGTGTCCGCCGTCCAGTGTTCAGCCGTCGTGATGCGGTGATAAGGGAGCCGACTGCGAGAGTAAACGCGTCAGTTCGCTGGGAGCCGTTTACAGTTTATGGAAATCGGATGACCATCAAACGGTGGTAAAATTTTGGGTTTGAATTAAATCCATTGACGTTTGACAAAGTTAAAATTGAAATCGGAAAACGCAAAACGGAATCCCGTCGTCGCGGCGTTGACGGGGTGTACGAAAACATTTAAAACGGATACGCGGCGCACACGAATCCCGCACACAGATGTCGAAATCGAGCAGTTATGTCGCGGTCGCTTTTTCTTCGTGGTGTTAAAAATCGCTTGGATGCTCGAGAACGCGTTTACGAATAATAAAACCCCATTGTATTAGTTAGTGATACGAAATAAATATGGATTATTCGAAATTCCGAAAAACTCGTATTTTATACTTCAGCCCATTGAGTTTTAAACCAGGAACTGGATATTTGGGTTTTTAACACGGAATTTTTTATATTTTTGTATTTGGTCGAGTTTAAGCCGTTGAACCCGTGCAATACAACGGTTCCGACACTTCATTGACTGTAGTAGATAATTTAAAATAAATTAAGTTTAGTTCCGACTAGTTATTGAATCGAATAAACTCACTTAAAACATAGTGAACGTATTCATTTAACTACGAAAAATATGTATTATGTTTCGAAATTCGAAATCCAGATTTTAGAAACCAGAATCTGTGTTTCAAATTTTGGCGAACCCGTAATTTTCCCATCACTAATATCAATACCATACGAATAGAACTTTGAATTCGAATATTATAAATTATAATTTAGAACTTTTAGCACCGGATGAGAACCAGTACGGATTTTGATTATTACGCGAACAGACGGAATTGTGTTTAAAATACTTCGTAACCTTTTTTCCATAATGCTATCATTATACATGTTAGTACAGTAGTTTACACGTATACATGTGTTCAACACGCATACGTATGGCTTGTTGCTCTATACTACATGTCGAAGCAGAGGGACTCGCCGAGCCGAACGTTATTGCATTTGTACAGATGCATTACAATTATTTGCTGTAAAAAGGCGATCGATGTTATATTTTTAATCTCATACGCTCATGAAAACGTGTACGAAGTGACGAGAACCGTTATTTATTTCATGCGGGCATTCGATTTATTTTTGCGCGAGAATATCGTATTAGATGGAACATCGATCGCCTGATGAAAATAGATTTAAGATAAAAAAAGAAGAGTCGGCTGTAAGAAAAAAAAAAAAAATACGTCAGACCGTCAAACATTAATACATTAATGGAGGACAATTTACAGGAAAACGATAAGCCGCAGATGCTTAATTTTAAAATTTACTGCGCGTTGGGACTCACCTCTACTGAAAACCGTGCAGTTTTTACTTTAACGATTCTGTTCGAAATGGTAATGCGTGATAATATGCGGAAAAAAAAAAAAAGGTTTGGCTAATTTACGAGTAGTGCATGCGTAAACATGATAATTTACTAAGAGATTAAATTAACGACGACCGAGAGAATTGATTTATCACCAAACGTGATACGTGCCAACCGATTTGGAAGTACATGGTTTTATGCGATAAAAAAAAAATGTCTAAAACCAACAACAACGAGTAGGCATATCGCACCAAATGAACTGTTCATTTTTTACGCTGAGTTGGTAGTTACTCGATCGTTTCGGTTCACTAGGGGGAAAAAATAGCGTATTGATACGGCAGTCCGTTGTAGATAAGTAAATATAAAATATGGATTTTCCTGTGTAATGTTTTAATTGTCGTCAAATTTATTTAAGAAATGCTAAAGCAATTAACATAAACTAAAGGGTGAAATGAATTACACAAACACAAATCTCTCTTACAGATTCTGATAGTATTCAAATATTTATATTCGAAATGTTCAAGAAAACCAAGAATGTTTGAACTAGTACTCTTTAATTTTATGGTTTTAGCAAATCTAAATATTTCAAAATGAACGTTTTATTTTTCGATATGTATATTTTATAAAATGTTTATTTTGTATATGTTTACCTCTATAGTATACTGTCTTAAGTATAATATACTTCATATACCAATGGGCCATAAGTAAGTGCATTATGTGAATTTGTATTCGAGATTCATACCTAAATAAAACAGAGTTGATCCTCTCCACACCATTATAGGAAAAATCCGAGCACGCCACTGCCTGATGCATCTACTAACTGCATTTGTTTGTGTGTACCGATTGATAACTTCGACTTCATTTCTACACTCAATTAAATCCAGCGGGACGATACTTCGAGTCTTACTTTTAATATATTAAGGTTGTGTAAATGCTTCAAAACTTACTCGATAGCCTTAACGTGTACTGCCGTCGCATCACCATCGGCCCACGGTACACACGATTACGAACGCGAGTCGCGCTTACGGTTAGTCGTTGATGAGTTGAAGGCTTGCAGGTGATCGCACGACTCTGTGCAGTACCTGATTATTCGGATTTCTTTCCACGCTGGCTGCAGTTTAGCTCGTACAATTGCGTTATTTATTTGCAGAAAGTACAACGAACACAAACGGGGGCGACGAAGAGATCGGAATCCGTTTTGTCCGCAACCTCTTAACCGGGCAAAAGGACAAGCGCCCCCGCTGTACCGTAGTTCGAGAGCGTGGAAACATCAAACACTCCGGGAAAACTTGAAAGAAAACGCAACCGAGCGGATAAACTGTTCAACGACGACGGCGACGACGACGCTAGGAAGTCCGGTTATTCGCCGAATAACGCGTTTATATCGGGTCGAATGTGGTTTGACAATGAAATAAAATAGAAAACTTTCATAGCACTACTTCGGACACGTTGAACAACTGCGAACAAAAAATTCAAATTTAAAAATCACTCACCCCTCGTGTAATCTTCAAAATAAAACATCAGACATATTATTTGATTTATATATGTATGTAAATGTATATGGCTTTGAGACCGCTGTACGCAGACGATTATTATTGCTCTAATTCGAGATCTGCAAACTAGAGACAGGGAGAAAGATAAATTGAGAAAGGGTTCCAGCACATGGTTAATGGTTAGAAATTGTACTTGAAGCGCACTTATAATGTACTACATTCGGTAGTCGATTTGATTTATGATTTGATATCAGCGGCTAGTGACGCAAGGAAAACTGTATAAAATTTTGCACCGCTGAATTACACCAATGTTTAACGAACCGTTAGTTATTTTCAGACTGATGAAATATTTATTCTGGGAACACGTGGTTGGAACCTTTCCGAGGTGAACGATTCGATATAATAGCAATATAAACCGAACGGTTAGTTGTACTGATATTCTATAATTTTTTTTTTTTTTTTACCAGATACCTTCTTATAAATATTGGCGCTTATGAAAAATATTCATAAAATTACATTTTTAAACTCTATTAAAATGTTGGTTTGATTTAAAAAAAATGATTTTTGTACCGTTGTAAAACACTTGTTGGTATTTAATTTTATCGAAGTTATGAGTGATTGCGTGCATTGCATTCACCTCAACGAATATAATATTTATGTCGGTGACTTCGTGAGCTCGACAATTAAACAAAGAATCTTTAACGGTAAGACAATGATTAATTTAGAAACAATTTGTCGTTAAATAATTATATGAATAAATCGTCGACCTTCGTCCGACGATAATACACGAACATGTCTCGGTCTGGTAATGAAAAGTTTTCACTATTCATAAACAATATTTCGGTAATTTTTTTAATTAAATGAAAAATACATAATTGCAACATTCATGCTTGGATTGGATGAAATGTAGTTAATCATTAGATTTCAAATACAATAGGAATGATCAACCTTGTTCGGCCGACTAATTAATAAAAAATTAGTTTCACTGTTTCAATATAATTTTAACTATTGATTTTACGACTACAATGTTTCAATTGATATTCTACGCAGTCAATAACTTTGTAATAAATTTCTTAAAAAAAAAAAAAAAAAAAATAGTTACAAACCTCTATACAATAATATTTTTTGATTTCAAATCGGTCAAACATAACCGTTGATTTTTTATGCATACTTATAAAAAAATCGTTCGCATCAATTACAATTTTTAAACCAAATGCTGTACTTATAATATCATTACATTGATGCAGTTATACGGTACGAAGAGACGGTAAAAATTAAAAACGCTCGACGATCGGACCTGCGTTATAACATCATCGGGCGCAATCGTTTATTGACCACTCATTCAATTTCGTTTTAATTGGCACAGCACCGTTGCACGTCGATTTAAATTCCAACACTACCATTGTTCCACATTGTATAAAGGTACTTGTAAAACCATTCCGAGCAGAAATCATTTCCTTATGTTATAACGTTCGTTTGATGTTTTGTATAAATTATTTTTATTTATTTATTTATTTTTTTTTTCACTCAGAATTCTCGAATAATCACGCGTAGACAGTTGAAAAAGAAAACCTTTTCGAATTTTCAATTTTCTCTTTTCCGTCCACCGCGTAAGCGCCGAACGCATGAACATCGCAGGAATTTTCGCTTCTTTATATTCTTACCGCGCAAAGTGATTCTAGAAACGGTAAACAACACACGCACCGGCGGCATCGCAATAGAATCAATAATTCATCATATCCGGAATATCGAGAAACGCAAACGTACGCGTTCCGGGAAAACCGGGTAAGAATAACCGTTCGATCGGGTGACGAAAACATTAGCGCGTCCAACAGAAAATCGTACGCGACGTTATGGATACGGAACGTTCAATTTTTCAATTGTTCGATGTTTGACATGTTTAGCACTCGCGGTGTTGCGCCGACACGTCGACTCGTCGCGAAGACAACTCCGGTGACGAATCGGAACGTTGCGACCGTACGAGATGGAAAATCGCGCGTTTTCGCTGCGTCGGTCGCCCGCGGCTCGTGCACGTGACAATATTGCGCTTCTGAAACGACATAATCCGACGGTTCCCGGTTTTTTAACGACAACTACTGTTGCCGATGGAGACTGGTAATGGTATTTCATTCTTCCCTCTCCGAACACGTTCCAGCGTCGTCAGCAGACGCGACCGAAACATCTGTCGGTTTCGCCGTTTAAATTTGTTCTATAACGCGAACCGATACGAGATGGGATTCGCAGATGTAAGATTTTATCGCATTTTTCACCGGTATTTATGCGTAGAAAAAAAAAAAAAAAAAAAACAACAATAGTTAAAAACGACCCGATGCGTTTGTAATACGTCACGTACAAACGGTTTTCAATTCCCGACCCAATCGTCGGTCGGTTTTACAACAATAATATTGTTTATGTGCTTTGGGCGAACCGACGTTTTTCGCATAGCGTTGGATTCGGCCGGTTATGTTGCTGGGAAGAATTCGTTTTTCGATTGGCTACCTCGACGCGAAGGAAAAATGAAATCGATTCGGAAATAATACGACATTTTAAGACTTTTAATTATTTCGCGAACGTGTTCAATCGTTCAATAACTTTTGACACGCTCAAATATCATAACATTTCGGACCCGTTAACCGTGATCAATAATGTTTCCCCCCCCCCCCCCCCCAGGGACCGTTTGCCGGACGCGCTCAGTTATTATTGTTACGTTGGAAACACGCGCACGAGAATTAACGCGCGGCTTTAATGGACGACAATGAACTCAATAAACCTGCAGTGTCTTACCGGCTCTTATTGTTTTTTTTATTGTTTGCAATTGATACCACCGCGGTGGACCGTCGTCGATCGGTATGCGAGGAACTGAACAACTATAACTCGGTACGTCGAAGTTGAGGTCGAGTTCGAATTGTTCGTTTCAATGACTGCGAATACCAATAACAATGACGAACGTTTGGATTTCTCTCGATCATCGTCCGCTCGTATCGTACATATGCGATCACTCTGTACATAACGGCCGCTTGTGCGTCCTAATATACGTAACGTTCTAAATCAATCGACCGCTAAATGAAACCGAAAAACGAATGCATTACGCAAATCCTAATATGGTTCATAATAATAATTATGAACCATATTCTCAACTGTAGTAACTATCCACGTTTTAAACTTATACCGAAAAACTGGTTTTACACTCGTTTATAAGGGAGCGGTTAAGAATTCACGTAGCGTTTATTTTCATGCAATACATTTCTCTTCGGACGATGACAAAAAAAATAATACAAATTGTTGTCGTTAATACTGTATCACTTTTTATTTTTCTCGTTAAATTGTAATTTACTTTTGCTTTTCGGTACGGCGTTTTGATTCAATGAAAAGCAGTATACTAGTTTACCCTTTTTCATACAGTTATTTACTTCTTCTACTCTTAAACTAACAATAAAGATTATTATTATTATTATTACTACTACGATTATGTACTTTTATCTCTACTTTTCCCTGGTTAAAACTAGTTTTCAACCTGCCGATACAAACATTACGGATTTTCACCGGATAACTCTAGTTTCCACAGATATAATATTTCACGCACACAACTAGTTCTGACCGAATGGAAATAAGTTAAAACTAGTTTTATCGGCGAGGGTTTTAGTTAACTCTAGTTTTAACGAGTGGAAACCAGAATCGACTGAAGGGATTTGTGGAAACAAGTTTTGACGGATTTACGGGGTTTAACCGTAACGATTTATCACACTACAAACGGGGTAGCGGCGTACTTCTGTTACACTCGCAAGTATTATCATATATTATTCCACGTACGTGTTCTCCGTAGCACGCGCGGGTACTCGAAACGGATTCGATTCGATTATTGTTCGACGACCATTCCCCTGGTTTAATTAACACGCGCACCGTTTATTTTTCATCGGAGATAGTCGTCGCGCAGTGGCGTAGCCAGGATTTTTAAATGGGGGGGGGGAGGCTAACCACATTTTTGGATAAGTAAGGTAAGAGAGGATATGAGAATTCACCCTTAACTCCCCCCCCCATCTACCATCAAGTTTCTAAACGTAATTCAAGCATTTTAGTATAGTTTTAAAAATATTTATTAATATATAATTTATAATAATAATAATTTTGGTTTCAGTGTTCAGTCACTTGCTACACTCTGACAGTTATAAATATAATAGAAATAAATTATACGATAACTGATTTTTTTTTTTTTTTTGCGACAAATACTACATAATACAGTATAAATAAGTTGAAATTGAAATTTATACTTGTTACATTGTAATCCACGTTTTAACTTTTTTACAATAATAAAACAATTTTATTGTTATTTATTATTTGTTAAGACAAAATTGAATAGCGCATTTTACTGAGCGTAAAATATATGTAACGCAATTGGTACGTTGACCCTGAGAAAAAAATCTTTTTTAGGCACAATTGGTCCACGCCCCGTTCAGTGCTCAGCTCAGTTATTGATTTAAAATCGAAACGGTAAGTAAATAATGAAAAATAGCCATGTATTATCGAAGAAAACCGAAAGCGTATTAGAACTTAAGTTTCGTTGCTTCCGGTAATCACTTTAAATCGAGTACATTTAAGTGCTTAACAAGCTTAGCGTAATATCGTAAAAGTTCGATGTAATCAATTCTTATAATACATTGGGATCGATCGGAATCTATAAATCGGAGTTTCCCGATTCCAGAGAAATCGTTTGTTTTCGTGTACCCGCGTAAGCTCGAGAGATAAACATTTTCAAAAGAATCCCGAAACTAATATTTTAGCAGGCTCACGCGAACAGCCTCTGGTCAAAAAAAGTTTTTTCAATCCCGGCCGAAGGTCGTGCGTGAGTAAGTATTTATTTTAATAATGTACCGCGTCCGTCGCATTTCGCTCATCGTTCAATGTGCGCCTTTCCCATGACGTTTTGTGTTAAAATTTGGTCGGTTAATGATTTTATTGTTTTTACTTTATTTACACATGCACACTACATTGGTTTGCGTTATAATGGTATGTAATAGTTTTTTAGTTCTAAAGGAAGGCCACCGACCAACCGAGTCACCTGTCAAATGCACTCTTTATGACGAATACCATCCGACTAGTTATAAGGGATACATGTCATCAAAACAACAACGCTAAAGGTCGTACCGCCGACAGTGTAAATATTAATAACTGTAAAATCACCCGACAGCATTCGATACAAACTCACATCCTCGAAGCGCTAATGGTAGCAGGCTAATATCCCAAAACAAATTCAAATGAGAACTCTCTTCTGACCGTTTTCCTAAACGAGTTAAAAGCGCTAATAAACCGATTGTTATCTCTCATCACCATAGTTCTCGACTTTCTTTTCGTTATTTTATTTTAGACAGTACATTTAACTGTCAGTCTCTAGCCATTCTACTATGAAATACCGATTCGATCACAAAAAAGAATTAATCGCAACTCTTATCGCTTTGATCTCAGAGACGCATACTACGTCCAATGCAAAATATTCATTCTTCGGCTACAGTGTCCTTTTCATGTACCATCCTGAAAATACCGTTCACCGTGGTACCACGATCATTATAAAACCATCGCTCCAATTCACTCTCGGTCCCATAACTTATTATGACTGTTTGCAAGCGGCGATAGTTAACATTGACTTGAACCGTGTTGATTGGTAATTGGTTAATTGGTATTAACCTACGAAAACCAATAACAAAAAAAAAATATAAGCGTCACACCAAATCGCTATACCCCTCTCCCCGAGAACACAGAATTTTATCAGGACGTGTTTAGCCCTGCGCCGATTCCATTCATCGCAATATCATTTGAAGACCAATGAAACACACAGCCCATCTGAGTGGAACCCCTCCAAGTAATTTTTCTATTGCCACACGTTCTTATCCAATTATAGACTAGTGGATTTTCCACTCTCCAAAAAGCATTACTCGGTTTTGTCAATCCATCGGGTATATATATTAAAAATACTAGCAAACACGCGATTATATGCACCGACGGCGTAACTAATTATAATTTGGTTAATACGTAACAAAGCTCTAACGAACATATCGTATTCCTTGCCCGAACGGTCGAAACCATATAACATGTTTATCGGGTACCTCCACCCGTCCACTTTTGTTGAGGATACACGATCCATCGTAACAGATATGTGTTACAAAGTTATTCGGATCACTAATGTTAATGTTAACTAACATGATAACACAAAACGCCTATTGCCTTTATTTCGCATCGATTTAAATATTGCCGAAAACAATAGCGATATATTTTCAAATCAGATTTGCTCCTCGGCACCAAAATTAGAACGGAGCGGCCAAAGAAAACAACTGATCTCTTCGCAATGCCATGCCTTTTCAAGCTTACTCATGCGATTGTTGCCACCTCGGTGTGTCAAATGTAAAGATAACCATTGCGCTTTGGAATGCATCAAATGTGCTCATTTAAAGGGTGTGTGGTGTTTAAAAAAACTTATGGGAAACCGCGGAAAATATGAAATAGACAAACTCCATCGTCATTCCGTTTCCAATTTCACCGTACCGCCTACAAGTCACCACCGGCTCTCGAACCAGAAACAACAACGATCGTATTAAGCCAATATCGTCGCCAACGCCACTGCCAACACAACGCTAAAACTCGATTTCCGAATTTCTCGACCATTTCGAAGCTAAAAATTGTCCGTCACTACTCCTGCTCAGTGGTGTAGTGAAAGGTACACGGGGTACACGACGTGTACCCACTTCTATTTTTTCAGAAAATTTTTTTAGCGCTCTTGTTTTTACACTCGGCTACAGTTATGTCCCACGGAACTTCACGGCTTTCGTGCGAACGAACAAATCTCATTGTTCTGTCCTCGGACCGTTTTTTTTTTTTTTTTTTTCTTTCTTTCTTTCCGCCATTATAATATTGTGTACGGATAACAAAATATGAATCGAACTTATAAATGTAATATTTCCGACGACGAAAACATTTTTAACGATATATTATATATATATATATATATATATAACCGATCGCCGAACTCGCTGAACGAGTGCGAGCGATGTTAAAACGTTCTCGTCGCGCACGACGATTTCGATACACGTCCGCGCCGGTTCGTACGATTCGATTGAATTGCGCGCGCGATCGCCGTAATCGATCGCTAAACCCGATTTGACCGTGCGAGCGGTAACGCGCGGTTCCGATGGTCGGAGAAGGGAAAAAACAATCGTGAACCGGATCGCAGCGGCGCGTCGGATTGGGTTTTTT